CCCCCCCCCCCCCCCCCAAAAAAAAAAAGAAACAAAAAAGCAAGACAAAGCAAAGCACCAAATAACCCACCCCCCCAAAAAAAAGCAATCAAACAAACAAACAAACAAACAAACACACAAACAAACACACAAACAAACACACAAACAAACAACAACCCAACTCCTTACTGCCCATTACACCTCTCCATTTTTTTAGATTGTTAGTCTTTAAGAAAAGTTTTTTTTTAATTGCTTAGAACACAACGGTTATAAAAATGTCGAAGATTAGAGGTTATACTAAAGAGTAACGAACACAGAAGAGGAGGAGAGATAAAGACGATAGACGTTTGATTGGGAAAAGGGGACAAAGCACCCAAAAGGCACCCCTCAACTACCCACTCACACCTCCTCATCTCACTTCATCACACCCCATCTCACCCTGTCTCAGCGGTGTCTATGAAATAGTGATTAGACACTTCACTCTCTTACGCAGGAGACATGAGTTCGATTCCTGAATGGGAAGAAAATCGTAATCGAATATTTCGGCCTTTCTGCTGGGATGTTGTATCAAGGTTGTATCCCTTTCGGCCCAGATCGATCCTGTCAAGCAGGGTCAAAAGGCTGCCTCCTAAATGATCTAAATTATGTTGATGGGTGCGTTAAAAAAACCGTATATATCTCAAGAAATTAACATTTAACACGTTGCGGCCTCATCTCGCCGATTGCTGATGTTTACCACCCAGTTTCTTTGGATTTCCCCCAAAATATGATGGCAAAGTGTTTAAAAAAAAGAAATTATTAACATAATCACCCTGTCTTTCCTATCCCTCCCCACAGTGTTGACGGTGGTGCTCGCCAGCAGTCCCCGCTTCGTGTACCGTGAGGAGTGGCACGAGACATCCTGCGCACGCGCACTACAGAGGCTGAGACACCGGCCGGTTGAGATCCTGTCGCCTCCGGTACTGGACGGCCAGTGGGTGTCTCACAGGTGAGCCAGTTGGATTAGGATATTTCGGCGGCAGGCTGTTTAACTGCTTTACTTTAAGCCCAGAAAGCAAAATGTGTGAGGGAAGCCCAGAAAGCAAAATGTGTGAGGGAAGAGAGAGAGAGAGAGAGAGAGAGAGAGAGAGAGGGGGGGGGGAGAAGGAGGGAGTGTGTGTGTGTGTGTGAGAGAGAGAGAGAGAGAGAGAGACAGAGAGAGACAGAGAGAGAGAGAGAGAGACTGACAGACAGACAGACAGACAGAGAGACAGAGACAGAGGTAGGGACAGAGACAGACAGACAGACAGACAGATAGAGAGAGAGAGGGGGGAGTGTGTGTGTGAGAGAGAGACAGAGAGAGAGAGAGACAGACAGAGACAGAGACAGAGGCAAAGACAGAGAGACAGACAGACCGACAGAGACAGAGAGAGAGAGAGAGAGAGAGAGAGAGAGAGAGAGAGAGAGAGAGAGAGAGAGAGAGAGAGAGAGAGAGAGAGGGGGGGTGAGAGGGAGAGATAATGTATTTTTTCCTTTAAAAATGTGCTTACATTATGTATCTTTTTCCCTTGCGTCAACATTTAAAATATGAATAACGATAAATTATTTCTTGAGCACATGCAGCCGGTTCCAAAAATTAAGAAACTGCAATAGCAATTTTGACTTCAAATTTGGGCTCAGTACATGTGAACAGCTTGCTGACTAATTACTTTCAATTGCAAAGTGCAAATGAAGGAATTGAAGGAAAAACAGAATAAATCCATTTTTAGAAGAAACAAAAATCAGGATACCGGCCCTTAACTTACAACAGTGTCTGCAAGATATCCCCATGAAATTAATCAAGTGTAAAAACAACTGGTTCATTCTCAAACTGTATTAATTTCTATAAAAGGCAAATTGTATCAAATTAAATCCATGCCAGGCCATCGTAAGAAGTGGAAAATATGCCAAGTCGTGATAAGCCAGTGAGACAACCAGCTCTCTTCTCCACTTGAACCTTTCATATAAATTAATATGCTTTCCACCCAAATTGACACAGTTTTAAATCATTTTAGAGGTGGGCTGCTTTGAATCTGCCTGTTAGGGCCAACCCGGGCTGAGTGAGATACAACATCCTAGTAGACAGACGGATATTATACTCGATAGAATAGCCCTCTACACGTGGGAATCGAACTCTTTTTTGTGTGTATCTGTGTTTTTTGTGTGGGGGGTTTTTGTTTTGTTTTTGGTCTCTTGCCCATTTCTACGATATTGACGCCATCAGATTAGTAGAAGAATGTGTGTATGAGAATGCCCGATAATGTATAACGTACATAATTGTTATAACATAACAGTTACGTATGGATGTTCAAGATAATTATATTATTTTGGTGAAGGATCTGAGAGCAATGATGATTTTAGGAATGACGGTGGTGGTGGTGATAAGTGATTGATGATGTGGGATGGTGCTTATGTATATAATTATTAAGAACACATGCTTCTGTTATTTGGTTTTTTTTGGTGGGTTTAAAAAAAATAATGTTAGCGTTAGTCCTATCTTCCTCTGCTCTGATGAGTCACGAGGGATGTGGGCACCCGCTATCCCGTTCCCAACTACAACCATCTTTAATGTCACCATGAAGTTCCAAAATGGTGGGCACAGTCTCTGCTATGGTGACCTTGTTAGTATTGTGGGAATCGAACTAATGTCTCCAGTATACGACGGCCAAGAGTCTAACCGCAACCTCACGGGCGATGGTACAAATATGTACTTATGGAAGGATTAGGGATGAGTAGAATGAAATAGTGTGGGTTGGAGGAAACAAGATAAGATGAAAGGGGTTGGGTGAAGTAATGCGAACTAATATGAGAAATAGTCAGGGGAGGTCAAATGAGATGAAATGAGATGAGATGTGATTAGAGGAATTGAAGAACGGCGCTGTGTTGTGGGATGATTAAAAGTAATGTAATGAGAGAAATCGAAATGGTATAAGATTGTCTCTTCCTGGCTGCCAGTTTAAGGTTTACCTTTAAGGTGTACCATGCCTCTAGTACCGTTGGCTTGTGTGAATCCATAAGCTCATGAACGTGACTACCATGCAGAGTATTCAAGATTCCCGACAGACAAATATATTTGTTCTCAAAAAAAGTTATGCTACATCCCGATTTCATGTACAGTAGGAAACCATAAAAGCTAGGTGCTCAGACCACAAGTCGAGCGACCGATTTCCTCAAGCTTTGTGATATAGTGTGGAGACATTTTCTACGACGACTAAAATATTTTTAGCTATCTTATTTTGTCCTATATTTGTACTCATCCGCAAGAACCGGCGTTGGTGGAGTACGTGCTTAACTCTTTGTCGTTGCATATGATTTAGAAGACGTGAGTTCTATTCTCGAATGGGGTAGACGTTATTGTCGAGTATCTACCTCCGCCGGCTTGGGTGTCTTATACCCCACTCAGCTTGGACTAGCCCTGGAAGGCTGGGTCGAGGCGGTCCGCCTTTTGAATAATCTAAATTCGCCGATGTAGGCTTATAAAAACGAGAACAACAAACTTACAATGAATAAATCACCCACAAAAAGGAGCCGCTTACAAGTTATTCGAGGCGTGTGAGGGACGGAGGGGAAGGGGGGAGGGGGTGTTAATGGAAGACTGGGGCACTGATCTGTTGTTGCAGACACTGAGAAAAGATAATAAGTACGATGCTGTTTTCAGGACGGCGAAAAGCGCTGTATTTGGGGCGTACGTTTTTTTTAAAAAAGCGCTTCGTCCATTTGCATGGGAGGCAAGGCAGAAGTATAAGGGCTACTCAACTCGTCTCACACACACGCACGCACACGCACGCTCGCACGCACGCACACACATACACACACATACACGTACACATACACATACACAAACATACACAGATACACACATACACACACACACACACACTCACACACTCACAGACAGACAGAAACTCACAAAACACATAAGAACACACAAACAGACAGATAGATGGAGTGAGACACTGAAAGAAAGAGACAGAGACAAAGACAGGGAGGGAGATTATATATA